GGCTCTGAGCTGTCAGCACAGAGCCCGACTTGGGGCTCCAACTTGTGATCCGTGAGAATGTCATGACCTGAGCTGAAGTCGGACACTTAACCGACTAAGCCCCCCAGGCCCCCCAGTGAATAAACGTTTTTAAAAAATCTTAAAGAGAATGGAATGGAAGGATACTTGCTTATTTGTGACTCGGTTGAGGCAAAGAAAGATAAAGATTTCATTGAAAGGGTTTGGTTGTCGGTACTTGGGACTGATCAGATACCATAGGAGTTGGGAAAGTGCATGCAGAAAGGCAGAATTATTTGCTGATGCAGTGAGGGGCTAAAAGTGACTGGACAACTCTCTGGACTTTCTAATTCTATAATTATTTCCTTAGACTTGTATTTCTCTGCAGATGTGCGTTGTGGGTTATTTGTTTTGTTTTGTTTTTAAACACTAAGGATGTTTCTCAAGGAATTTTATGTGACTTTCTGGGCCAGGAGTGATGCATCAACAGCCAGCCTGGGGGTGACGCCTTTGAACACCTCATGTTAGCCTGTCATGTCACCTCCCTTCGGCCAGACAGCTGAGCAGTCCCGCGGGCTCATTGCATTGTGCACTCAGCCTCTGCAGAGGCCTGCTTCATTCCCTTTTATCAGGAGTGATTTTATTCCTCTTCAGCAAGTGATACTCGTTTAGCAGCCTCGTGACCTTGGCAGATTACCAGGTCACCGGAGGATTTTTAGATGAGAAGAGATTAGAGGGCAGTGATGCCCTGTGTTCTGCATAGTTCTGTTCTTACGGGAGCCCTGAGGTTTGAGGGGACTGGTTAATGGTGAATTCTCATCTGAGTGAATGTGAAACCGATATCTGCAACGAGGCTTTGCTGCCTTCTAAAAGGGGGAGTGAGGGGCGCCTGGGTGGCTCAGTCGGTTGAGCGGCCGACTTCGGCTCAGGTCATGATCTCGCAGTCCGTGAGTTCGAGCCCCGCGTCGGGCTCTGTGCTGACAGCTCGGAGCCTGGAGCCTGTTTCAGATTCTGTGTCTCCCTCTCTCTGACCCTCCCCCGTTCATGCTCTGTCTCTCTCTGTCTCAAAAATAAACAAACGTTAAAAAAAAAAAAAATTTAAAAGGGGGAGTGAAAGGGGAAGTTTTTGCAGGTTGAGAAGAGATGTGGGGTATCTGAAGAGTTGATCCCACTGGGATCATTCCTAGCCCAAATATATCTGTGGTTGTGCCTTTCCAGGAGGGACCTGCCGGGATTGGTATGTTTGTGGGAGCATCCTGGGGTTCCAGCCATGAGGCAGAGAGAGCCACGGCATGTGGAGTGTCAACATAAATGGGCTTCAGAAATTTCATCCAGCACTTCCTGATCCCTTACTTTAGTCCCGGCACTCTGCTTGGCACCAGAAGGATGGAGTGAATGAGAGCCTCCCATCTAGGAGTTCACAGGCTTCTAAGAGAAGGCAAATGTGTGCACACGTGAATGCGGTAATAGATTATCCACAGGACCACCAAGGAAAAAGGGCATTCTCTGTGGGTGTTCGTTAAGAGGGGGACAGTGGGGGAAACCTCCACAAAGGTTTCAGAGAAGAGAGAGCCTTGAATTAAATCTTGAAGGATGCAGGTGGGACAAGAGGACGATATTGGGGAGGGGCACACCAGGCACGGGAAGAGCCGGAAGAAGTTTGGGACTGAGAAACCCTTGGCACACACTGGCGGCTGCAGTCGGTAATCACGTGGCCTGGGGATGCAAGCAAGGGCTTTCAGAGAGGTGGCGCTGGAGAAATCCATCTGAACCGTAGCTGCTGGCCCTTGCTGTGGAGTCGGGGACTTTACCCCATGGGTTTCTGAGACATTGCTGTTGCAGATGTCTAAGCTGGTAAATGATGCAGTGAAATGCGCACGCTCCGGCAGCTCTGTGAAAGGTGGATCTGAGGGGCAGATCAAGGAGACCATTATAGTGCCCAGTGAGATGGAGTGTTGGTCTGGACAGTAGAGTAGCTGGGGTGGGGGGTGGAGAGCCGAGCAGAGCTTCCAGAGAAAGTGGAAGAGTGGGATTAGGGGAGAATAAGATTATAAATCTCTTAGTTTTCATTCTGCACTCGTCAAGAGGCGGTTCCAGTCAACTGTTGATAGGATATTAGTCTTTCAGTGCAAAAAAGACATCATCCGCATGCCCCACAGTCTTGGAAAATGTACCGAAAGGTGTTCAGGTCCACAAACTTCCCAGCCTTCCAGTCGCAAATCCATTTTAAATAAATAACGCATCCAAAAGATGCATTCATAGTCACAGTTTTTCACTGTCAGATGTGTGTTTGGTAAATAGGATGTGTGACATTCTATTTCGAGGTACTGTGGGATGGTGGCTTCACAGGGGGCGGGCATTTGTTCCGAGTGGTAACTGCCTTGGACGCCTGACTTAACCTCCCTGAGCCTCATTTTTCTGACTGTAAATATTAAGCTGCTAATACTGCCTCAGGGGTTCGTGGTGAGAATTAAATGAGACTGAAGCATATGAACGCAGCAGGTGCGAGGCCGGCAAAGGAGCTCCTGAATGCTCCGAATATCCTTCCTTTTCTCTGTTTGTCCTCAGTGTTCAAAATGCTGCACTTTCCTTTTCTTCTCTGTGCTAAGCCTGACCTACAGACCAGGATAAAAATGTACCCGAGTAGTTAGTTGCCCTCATATTTAAATTCCTTAAGGAGGCACCTGGGTGTCTCGGTCGGTTAAGCGTCCGACTCTTGATCTCAGCTCAGGTCTTGATCTCAGGGTCGTGAGCTCAAGTCCCGAGCTGGGCTGTGTGCTGGGCGTGAAGGCTACTAAAATAAATACATAAATTCCTGAAGGAGATTTCACATGGGATGCTTGATTTCCTGGAAAAAGATGCTTATCATTTCTGCCTTTGCTTTTGATGCAGGACGTCAGCTGCAACGAGATCACAGCCCTGCCCCAGCAGATAGGTCAGTTGAAAGCTCTACGGGAACTGAATGTCAGAAGAAATTACCTTAAAGTCTTACCACAAGGTAAAAAGAATAAAATAGGAGATGTTCATTATTATTATTTTTTGGTTTACTTTTGTGAAGAAGGCAGTTTGTCTAGTCATGTTTGTGTATGCCTAATAATATTACTTATTATATTAATATGAATTCTGTGAATTTCACATGCAAATGACAGAAAAGTTAATATCCAACTTTTCATTTTAGTCAAGGGGTACAGCAACACTATCATTCCCCTGTATGAGACTGTGTGTGTGTGTGTGTGTTAGTTTGCTCGGGCTCACATAACAAAGTACCACAGGCTGAGTGGTTTACACAACAGAAATGTACTTTCTCACAGATCTGCAGGCTGGAAGTCCGAGATCAAGGTGTCTCCTGAGAGCTCTCTCCTTGGCTTGCAGATGGCTGTCTTCTCCCCATGTGTTCACATCATCCTTCCTCTGTGTCTCTGTCCTAATCTCCTCTTCTTGAATTTTTTTTAAACGTTTATTTTTGAGAGACAGAGAGAGACAGAGCACGAGCAGGGGAGGGGCAGAGAGAGAGGGAGACGCAGAATCTGAAGCAGGTTCCAGGCCTTGAGCTGTCAGGACAGAGCCTGACGCTGAGCTCGGACTCATGAACTGTGAGATCGAGACCTGAGCCAAAGTCAGATACCTAACCTAGTGAGCCACCTGAGTGCCCCGAATCTCCTCTTTGTATAAGGATACCAGTCATGTTGGGTTGTGGCCCACTCAAATGACCTCATTTTAACTTTATTACCCCTTGAAAGTCCTTACCTCCAAAATCAGTCACATTCTGAGGTACTGGGGGTTAGGACTCCAACATAGGAAATTTGAGGACACACAATTCATAACAGGAGTTGTTTTTGGTATGGATGTGTGATGTTCTGGAACAATCAGCCAACACTTTAGGTCATATGCTTGGTCTTGTAGACCCAGCTATTAGGATTTCTGGCTTTGCCTATTTGGTAGACCTGGTTAGGCACCACCCACTGTGTACGGAATCTATGCTTCAGGTGAGGGCACTGCCCCTGATGAAATGGTAGTCGGACTAATGTCACTGGCAGTTTTAGTGAATTTCTCAGAGGCCAGAAGCAGGGATCCTCCAGACTGTCAGCACCGAGACTGGTTGCCTGCTCAGACGTCCCTACTCGGGAGCCAGACTCAGGCGAACCCTTCCCTGCGGCTGTGGGCCTGTCCAGGATGTCCCTCTGACATATTGTCTTTGAGTTCAAATAAAAAGATACAGTTGTTCAGAAATGGTGCACCATTAAGAACTTTGACAAGCAGCTCTGTAGATGGTGGTGGATCTGAATTTCAGATTTTGGGCTTCTTGTTCAGACTTGAATCAGAAGGAGTTGAGGAGCAGTGGAAGGAACACTGAATGCTTTCCCAAAAACATGCTCTGGTTTTCAAAGATCGTATTCATTTCCATCAGTTCCATTTAAGGCCCCTGGGCATACCCAGTTTCAAACATATATTTAAAAATACACATCAGGGGCCCCTGGGTGGCTCAGTTGGTTAAGCGTCCAACTTCAGCTCAGGTCGTGATTTCATGGTTCGTGGGTTCGAGCCCCGCGTCAAGCTCTGTGCTGACAGCTGGGAGCCTGGAGCCTGCTTAGGAATCTGTGTCTCCCTCTCTCTGTCCCTCCCCTGCTCATGCTCTGTCTCTCTCTCTGTCTCAAAAATAAATAAACATTAAAAAAATCTTTTTTAAATATACCACAAAGCAAAAGCATATATTTGGAAAGAAAAGCTAAGACATTTGGTTAATCTGACACTATTGCAGCAAGTTGAGAGCTACCTGATTTTTTCTGCATTTCGATCTTTGGCTTGAAGGCAAGCCAGTGAAGCTCATAGAAGGGAAAGAACTTTATAAAATGCACTGTGCTTTTATGGATGGGACATTTGAGTGCCTGCCTGCCACCGTCACCTTGCTTGTGCATTTTTAAAGAAGGAATGTTATGGGGCGCCTGGGTGGCTCAGTCAGTTAAGCATCAGACTTCGGCTCAGGTCATGATGTCATAGTTTGTGAGTTCGAGCCCTGCCTCAGGCTCTGCCTCAGGCTCTGTACTGATAGCTCAGCGCCCGAAGCCTGCTTGGGATTCTGTGTCTCCCTCTCTCTGCCCCTACCCCACTTGCGCGTGCCCGAGTGTGTGCGCTTTCTCTCTCTCTCTCTCTCTCTCTCTCTCTCTCCCTCTCTCTCTCTCTCTCTTTCTCTCTCTCAAAAAAAAGTAAATAAAAATTAAAAAAATTTTTTAAAGAAACAAAGTTAGAAACCATCTCAGCACAAAGATGTATTACTTCAATATTTGAGATGACTTGGTATAAAAACATTGTTTTTTCATTCTGTCATTGTCCAATGCATTTTGATTGGATGACATTGTTTTTCTTGGTTTGAGCAAGTACCAAGGGGAGAAACTCTTACTAACAACACATTTGTAAGCATTTAACCTTTCATAGCATTAACGGAAACTTTTCTTTACATTTAAGCTCTCATGCTAATCATTGACAAATCATTACAAATCCCCAAACTCTCATTTTCAAAAGAAAAATGTAATGGAACCATGGAATGGTTGCCTTTTGTAGTTTAGAAGCAGGTGAAAAGTGTGTCCACACAACTTGTTCTCCCCACTTCCTGTGCTCCTACCTTTTTTTTTTAATGTCTTTTTTTTTTTTTTTTTTTTTTTTTTTTTTTTATTTTATTTTCGAGAGCAAGAGACAGAATGTGAGTGGGGGAAGGGCAAAGGGAGGGAGACACAGAATCCGAAGCAGGCTCCAGGCTCTGAGCTGTCAGCACAGAATCTGATGCGGGGCTTGAACCCACAAACCGGGAGATCACGACCTGGGCTGAAGTCGGACACTTCACACACTGAGCCACCCAGGTGCCCCCCTATGCTCCTACCTTGAAAGCATTCCTTTCCCTGGAAGAGATCAGTTACAAATTTCTATCCTTTTCATAATTATGTTTTCTCAGGTTTAATATTTTAAAATCTACTCAAAGCTAAGGCTTTAGTTTACTGGAAACTTTTTTTTTTTTTTTTAAGTAACTTCCTGAATATCAAATTTCTTTTTTGCTTCACTGGGGAGAACTCCATTAACAAAAGAGCATTGATGGTGCTTGCAGGCAGTGAATTTAAGGACTTTCCATATTTACTTGTTTTTCCTCTTTGAGTACCCCTCCCCATATGCTTTCAATCTGAGGAGGGAAAACTAGTCTGTAGCCTTAATTACCCAATCAATTTTGTGGTGGTTTTACTACAAATACTACAACCAGGAGACCATACTTTGTTTTTTCTAGGACATGAATGGACAGAGGTAAGATTAAAGGAGTCACTCATTGACCTTCTTTGCAACAAAGGGTTCCCTGGGATTTTTTTTTCTTACCCCCTTTTTCTGCCCTGTTTCTTCTTTTGACCATGTCTGGGCTGGTGTTAGCACTTTCTCCCCGCCATTTTCTTGTTGTGAAACTGCCAGGCTCTTGTTTTCCTAAACTAAGATGGTAGTTGTGTCCCAAACTACAATTAAAGGGAATAGTTGTTGTAAAAGCCATTCTTACTTTATTTATTTAAGTTGCCTCTCCTCCCTCTCCTGCTATGACTTCCAGGATCTTAGCCCTCAGTCTTACTTAAAAGTCTTCATTTCCAGTGGCAAAGAGTTGAAGAAAGAGTCCAGTTACATTTTGCTACTAATTTGTCAACCTAAGTTTAGTGAGTAAAATTAACTGTCTTAGAGATGGATTGATATCACTACGGATACAGCAAGGGGATATTCCTTTTGTATATAAATCTCTCTAATTCTTACCCGGGTTTTAGAACTAAACTGTGAAGCGAAAGAGATCTTACTTTCCCTTTTCCTTTGACTTTTTTGATTCCATGCTGTTTTCCACCTTCCCCTCCTCCCTCTCTCCTCCACCTTCCGTTGCTCACAGAGCCTTCAAGGCAACCTCCAGGACTAGTAGGGGGTGAGGCAAATCACTTACCCTGCTCTTGAGGGTAGGGGGTGCGGACTGGGTTTGGGCAGCGAATTATTCGGGGCAGTTTGCAAACTACACTTCCTGAGTTTCTCTTGCACGGCCGCCTGTCAGGAGCCGAGCTGGGGACCTGCCACGTGGGGTGCTCTGCTGCCTCTGTTCTAGCACTAGTCCCTCTGTTCTAGTCACTAGCCTCGTGACTCCTTGTGGAGTAATTCACATTCGCTAAGGCATGAAACAAGGAAAGTCCCTTACACGCCCAGATTGCAGTGAATAGGAGAGGAGATAACCGGTTGCTAAGAGCATCTTTGTTTGTGGAGCTTGAAGTGGCATAGCTGAGTAAAGTGAAAACCCTAGGGCCTACTGGGAGGAGAAGAGAAATTGTGTTCATGCTCACTTCAGGTCACTTCGTCTACGGCCCACTCATCCTCCATTTTGGAACTCCCTGTGTCTTCCAAAGCACCGTATTTCACCCCTTACCAGGTCCCATAACAAACGTGGCGAGGCCCCTGCGGACCGGAACCCGCTGGAGTGTCCCACACAGAGAGACCTTAGTGGTTTGCCCCGTGTCACTCTACTTCTCTGGCGTGGCTCAGCCTCTTTGCTCTGCGGAATATATTTGACTTCGTTCCTTGCAGCTGCCAATGTCGGTTGGAATGCTTGAAATTACTGAGTGTTTACTGTGCCACTGGGTGGGGATTTTAAGCTAAATATAATGTTCTGTCTTGTTTGTGGAGCTACAGAAGACTTTTAAAAAGCAGCAGAATGGAGCCTCATCAAATCAGGATTACAGGGTCCATTGCAAAATTCCGAATTCAATAAAATTTAGTTTTTAAAGTGGAAGTAAAAAAACCATGAACGTATTTCTTGTAACTAGTTCTGAGGTTATGCCGGTCCAGATACATTCACTGGATAAGAATATTTTGTAATTAGCACATTGTTCGTATGCTAGCAGCTGAAGTTAAAATATAAACATGACTGATGTGGTGTGGCTTACGTGATTGTTTTGCTGGAAGAGAGGGCTTTCTGAACAATAGATATTGTAAATGTCAAGTGTGTCCGGCTTCTATCAGAACTAACAACAATTTAAAATTATTGGGCTCCCAGTGAAAGATTTTCCCTCCCCTTTAGTAAAACATGTGACACACATACTTCATATTCCTGATGCCTCACTTGCTTTGATTATGCTAAATGATAGTTTTCCTTGTAAGCAGAAAATTAAGTTTTGAATGTTAAGCCGTTTAATCTTGTTGCTTTCTGAAATTGTTCTTTTTCTTTCTTTCTTTTTTTTTTCCCTCCCCTGTTCTTTAGAACTAGTAGAACTTCCCTTGGTAAAGTTTGACTTTTCCTGCAATAAAGTGCTCGTGATTCCCATTTGTTTTAGAGAGATGAAACGGCTGCAGGTATTACTACTTGAGAACAACCCTTTGCAGTCTCCTCCAGCACAGGTGAGGGCCCGCAGCAAAGCGGTTTCAGGGAGAAATGCTGTCAGTGGTGTGGGGGGGGGGGCGCGGGGGCGGCAACTCTGGGCAGAGCCGGACCTCTGATCGTCTGCTGAATTCACACTGTTTTAGACTTGATCACAGTCTCTGAAAGATGAAACCATGGGTGAATCCGACTATGGTACGTTGTCTTCTGCTACATAGAGTCCGTTTACTAGCATTTAGCTCACTGTTCTGATCGCTGCAGTCCCAGAATTACAGGTGTGATTATGGCGGCATTTGTACGGTCATTGGAAACTCCTTCGTGGAGCGTGTGGCTTAGACTCAAGGAGGAATACATGCCTTACATTACTGTGAGCTGCGAAATGGAGTTCAGACATTTTCAAATATGATTGTCGGTTTTTCAGAGATAAGTTTCGAATTCAGCTGTTAAACCATGTGGGAACAAAGTGAATGCTTCCAGAAGTGGGATGTTAAACCATGTCGGTTACCTGACTTCTATATTTTTTTACACTATTTAGACTTAAACACACTTCTGTTAGAATGGTTTTCTATTCAAAGTAGAATCTGGAAGAAATGGTTGCCTAAATTCTCGTATGTTTTGGAGAGGCCAAATTGGGTGCGTATTGTTAAAGTGTTATTTTAAATGAAAATACACAGTCAAATGTCTAGGGTTTACATTTTGTTTTGCCGTTAAAAAACGTTAAAAATATGTGTTATTAATTTCTCCATAGATATGCACAAAGGGCAAAGTGCACATATTCAAGTATCTCAGCATACAAGCATGTCAGATGAAGACAACCGACTCCCTGTATCTCCACACGATGGAGAGGCCACATTTACACCAGCACGTGGAGGACAGGTGGGTGTGACTGCAGTGGCTGAAAGCCCCTGTTTAGGATTTGTTTAGGCCAGAGTGCACCGGTTGGGTGGGTAAGTCCAAAAAATCCCTTGGTCTCTCTTAACCAGCGCAGATTTATGGTGTGGATAACCTTTCGGCATCTTGCAAATCTTACCTTCCCTAATCTAATCAATAATCGGTCTTTCTTGAGGACCATTTGTGTGTTATAATGCATATATATATGTATCTTTATACATGCAATCCATAATATAAATATGGGTATTTTTTACTTATCAGTTAAAACACCCATAAAGGCTCAGGTATGCTTTTTTTTAATTATTAATTTTTAATATGCCACCAGAACATTGTTAAGAAACACGACAGGTTTTGTGTTGTAATTGTCTTTTTAAAAATGTGGTGTGCATAGTTTTTGCCATTTCCTGTTTGGAACCGATGTGTTGGAATCCTTTCACATGCCCTTGGCCTTTTTGTGGCATAAATTGGGCCTTGAATTTTCAGAGAACAAAATTCCCACGCTGAACACATGTATAGAAACACAGGCTGTTTTGAGAGGTCTTCATTGCAGAGACCTTTCCTTAACTTTTTACTAAAAGAGTAAACATGGTGGCTTAAAATCTCAGGCTACCCTAAGGATCGCTTTACTTAATGCTTAAAATATGTATTCATTATATTACTTTTATAAACATCAATTTATTTAGTCACTGGGTAAAAGGCTTACAGAATTATTGAAAGTAACTATAGAAAAGTTAAAAGCCTCTTGTAACGTAAAAGGTAAAAGCAATTAGGTAGTTTTTGCTTTTCGTACACTGGAATCACTAAAATGAGAACATTGTTAACTGTTTCAAAGAACAGGCCCCTTGGTTAGAGTATGAATTTATGAAACCCTGAACGCAAAGAGTTTGTCTTCTACTCTGCTTAGACAGAGTATCTGATTTTCATGAGGCCCTTGTCTTAACCTCCTTTAATATTGGGCTGATTCGTTGCCTTATGGTAGTAATAAAATTTGTATAGCAGAGTCATTACTTGAATATAAATTGATGTATCTTGTTGTGAACTTTGTGATTTCATTTTTTTCTAAATGGATTCCATACCGATGGCATCTATCCCAGCAAGAAGGATTCTGATTCGGGCGTTGGAAGTGATAATGGAGACAAGCGTTTATCTGCCACAGAGGTAAAGTTCGTGATTAGGTATTTTTCCTTCTGTGCTTCTAGCTGGATTTGCCTGCATTCCTGAACTCCTCTGTGGTAAAGGGCATTAATGCATCTATGTGAGAAGGTGTGATTATGTTTGTGAAAGCAATTTGAAATCCAAGTGTTATAGAAATATGAGCCGCTGTTAGTTTTTTCTGCATCTTTAATATTTTGTAAATGTCTCAAGGGTAGAGTCCCTATCTTCTTCCCCTCCCACCACACTCCTGACATTATCTAGAATATTCGTTTTTTTCTTTAAGTTGATTTCTTTATATTGAGGGAGGGAGAGAGAACACACATACATGTGTGCGCGCACGAGCCAGGAAGAGGCAGACGGCGAGGGAGATCCAGAATCCTGTGCAGGCTCTACCCTCTCAGCTGGGAGCCCGACATAGGGCTCAATCCCATGAACCGTGAGATCATGACCTGAGCCGAAATCAAGAGTCAGACACTTAACTGACAGAGCCACCTGGGTGCCCCTAGAATATTCTCGAATGCTTCATAAATATTAGGAAATGACTAAGAGTGGTCTGCAAGTACCCATGAGGCATTTTTATAGATATGTTTGTTTCTAATTGACAGAATAATTTGGGAAAAACATTATTTGCATGGATAGATGTTAAGGAGTCAAATGTGCATTGCATTTTAGCAGTGTACCCACAGGAAGTGCGATCTTGAATAGCCAGAGTTTTTATAGCAATATTTGTTTTCCTGAAAGTCTTCGATTGTGTTTTTTTCAGATGGTTGGATAAAAGTTTGGTTACTTGTAAGCCAAGAAGCCACACGAGAGCTTCCTAAAGTGGTTATAAATAGCTCAGTTAGCACATTTATCTCATTTATAGTTAGATTCCCCGAAACCTTTCACTAATATACCATTAAGTGGGGTTTCTTGAGCAGGGGAGCTAGAAGGGACAGCTGGTGGAGGGATTGGATGTATCATCAGTCTTCCCTTTTGAGGAAATCTATTGAGATTTTGTGGTTACTGAGTTTTGAAATATAATTCTACTCTTTGAAGATGTAATTAATAGGTCAGTTACCCCATTTAAGGAGTTCTCCTTTGTACTCTGTGTGACTCCAAGAAAGTGCCTTTTGCCTGTTCTCTTCAGGTGTTTGAGGATTAATGTGTAGCTAAGATATTGCATTTTACTTCCTACAACATGCTTTATAAAGCAATGTATTAAAAAATTAGGATACCTTAAAGTCTTTCTAATATGGAACATTTCGAAAGGAGTTTGTAGGGAGAAAAAGAAGGCCAATTTCAATAAAAGAAAATTACTCTCATGAAGCCACATGAATAGTTTACTGTGGTTCCCTGGGGGAGGAAATACTCAACACATTACTTTATAAGTTGTATTTAATTCAACTCCCTTAGCTTTATTAAAACTCATAAGTCCCCTGAAATGTCCCATTGTTTCAGAAATTACTCACCCTCAGCTTATTTTCTACGAAGTTAAAACAGACTCTGCTTTATCCTTTATCTGTTTTTTAAGGATAATTAAGTTCATTAATAAAACATCACACAAAGAACCTCATTATCCTTTTGTTCTCACTTAATATAAGTAGGAGGCTAAAATCATTCTAAAAGGAGGCCAAGGGTTTATTCTGTCCCTTTTAACTAGATGCGTATCTTTGGAATTTTGCTAAGCTTTCAAGAGAGGAGGAGGGTGGAAGGAAGGACCACAGAAAGGATTTTATATTTGACAGTATTGAGTGCATGAATCTTCCCTCGGCGTTTTTGTCTGGTCTCACACGGCCGCCTCATTACCTGAGAACACCTCCAAGAAATTTGTAGAAGGAATAGCATTCTGACTCCTTCTCCAGTGTAGCTTTCTCTTTTCACTTTGTTTGGCAATTATGTTGTCATCTCACCGCTTACTAGGGTTTATCTGACTCCCCACTTCTGTCTCCCTGTGGTATTTGCAAAGCACATCTCACTCCTTTGGCTGTTGCCATTGTCTGAGTACATTTAGCGTTTGTCTCTAGGAAGTTTAAAACGTGTTTTTCTGAAGATAAACATGCAACAAAAAACTGGCGGCTGAATGAATATCTGTTTACTGGATGAAATGCACACTTGTTTTGCACCGGTTTCTAAACGATTTGTGCATGCGTCCAAATGTAAACAAACACTATCCTGAAAGTCACGGCTTCAAAAATTGAGGAACAGCCCACAACTCCCTGAAATGTGTTCTGTGGAGGTTCATGATCCCTGTGATTTGGAAAGCTTTTTACTATATAGGAACACTAAAATGGAGACATACGAAAGTCACCGAGGCTCTGTATTTCACTTGTGACGGAATCCTAGATTATCTGAATAAACTTCATCAGCTACTGTGAGAAACTAGCGCCCCAGAGACAACTTACTTTGAGTACTGAATTGAAGCCTTACTCTGAAAATTGCACGGAACACATTTCCTTTTAAGTACTACAGCCATTCAACACTTTCATATATTTGACGCAGCCTAAATTCCTATATTCTTCAACCTAAAACAGGGAAATAAACCGAAGCTTAATGTTGCACATAAGATGCACTGTAAATAAATGAGGTATTGTCACAGATATTGTCTGCTTTTTTAAAAAAATTTTTTAATGTTTATTTATTTTTGAGAGAGAGAGAGAGACAGACAGCACAAGTGGGGGGTGGGGGGGAGAAAGAGACAGAGACACAGAATCCGAAGCAGGCTCCAGGCTCCAAGCCCCAACATGGGGCTCAAACCCACGAACCTGGAGATTATGACCTGAGCTGAAGCCAGACACTTAACACACTAAGCCACGCAGGTGCCCCCAGATATTGCCTGCTTTTTGTGACGAGCTGCATGAAACCCTAATGTAGTTTGGGAAATTGGTGTTGTCGTCAGATCTCAGAGTATCATTGCTATTACAACGATTGGTTGGCCTTTGGGCCACTGTGATATTGACCATATTTATAACATCACACTATATATATTTACTATTATTCCTTTGTTCTGTCAGGTATTACATAGTCCTTCTTAGTGCCCTGACCATTGCTCTTAGGTTGGAAAATGCCATCAGGTACCTGACAAAATTTTAGCTCAAAACATGTACAGAGAGACACTTGAGTGTTAATTCAGTGAGTTTTGACAAAGCGAACACACCCATATTACCAGCTGCCCGTTCAAGAAACAGAGCTTTACCAGTACCCCAGAAAGCCCACTCATGCGCCCACCCTCCAAGCCAAGAGTAGCCGTTATCCGGACTCCAAACACCATGGATTAGTTTTGCTGGTTTTTGAACTTACGTAAGTGGAACCATGCTTTGTATCTGGCATCTTTTACTCAATATTATGTGTTTGAGAATCACAGTTTTGTTTTTTGTTTTTTTGGTTTTTTTTATCACATAGCATTCTCTTAATCTACATTGAGAGCTCTTGTCCCTGGAATAAAGCAGTGCACTATTCCTTTTTAGCCTTCTGATGAAGACACGGTTAGCCTCAACGTGCCAATGTCCAATATCATGGAAGAAGAACAGATCATCAAGGAGGACTCGTGCCATCGCCTTAGCCCAGTTAAAGGTCTGACAATGAATGATGGGGAGAAAGTGCTTGTTTTTAAGTTTCAAATGCTATGTTTGCAATCTGTCCCGATAGGGCCTTGATGATAGCTAATGCTTATTGAGCATTTCCTGAGCACCAGGCTCTTTGCTCATCTGTGAAAGTGAGCCCATTTAGAGTCCAAAACTCCGAAATTTTAATCATCTCCATCTTACAGGTGAGACAGTTTAAGTAACATGCCAGTGATCACACAGCTAGCCAGTAGTAGAGTTGTTCTCGTTTTGAAGATTTATATAACAGTCTTTAAATCCACTCTTGGAAAGAAACTATTGCTATGTAGACCTATTAGACAACAACAGCCGTGGTAGCACATGAAATCCCCAAATCTCACTGGCTTACCACAATCCAAATCAAGTCTACACGAGAGTTAGTGATTGGCAGGCAGCTCCCCTCCAAAGACCCACGCTGCTTTCATTCTGAGATTCCACCATCTTTAACACAAGACTTCCAAGGTCCTATTTTAGGGCAGAAGAGGGCTGAACATGGAGGTTTGCTCACAAGAGGTTTTTAATGGGCTGGGCCTAGGAGTGCCCATCTCTTACAAGCTAGGCTCGGACATATGGCCACTTCTAACCACATGCGAAGGGAGGAAATATAGTTGAGATGTGTGCCTAGGAATCCACTTGACTTTGGACACGATAGTTGACCTTAATTCTGTCACCTATAAGTGAGATGGTTAGATTAGGAAATATCTAATTACCTAATTACCCATGGTCTTCTGTAGCTCTAAAGTTCTGTGGTTCTCTAATAATCATCAAATGATCGCTAAGCACTTTATGTCCTGCCCACCTTGAAAATCCTAGCAACGTATTTCATAAGTTGGTGGAAGCCCTCAGTTGATTACATTAGGGCAGGGTTTTGATTTTTTTTTTTTTTTTTTTTTACTACTCCTATTTGTTCAGTGACTGTTAAAGAAAATCCTAAAATTCAGTGTTTGCTGATTTTTAGCACATGATTTCATGATATGTGAATAATAAAGAACTAGATTAATATGCAGATCATCTCCCTAACAGTTTGAATATGCTCTCATTAGTGATGGGGAGCTGTGTGAACCAACTAGCATTTGCTTTCACTTTATACCTTCAGGTTTTTTTAGTTTAGCACATAAGTTTAGCATTTATGTTTATCTGAGGTTATGATTGGAACCATACACTCTCCAAAAAATATCACTGTATACTTCATGCAAGAATATAACTGCCTTTTTAGTAGATAATCTTTATAACATTATACAGTATAGGAGGTAGTGTTTTAGGCAAACTTAAAATAAAAGAATTCTGTGATTTGTTACCAGTGAGTTTTCTAACTCTTTGTTCTAGAAGTGGGTATTCTGCTAGGGGGGAGTCCTTAAAGGTAGCCCTCCTTGATTCTTTTTAGTTTCCAGATCGGGGAGAAGAGATCTGTTTGCTGTTCCATTTGCCTCTTTATACTTTCTTTCCTCTGTTTCTTGAGAAAGTTACAGGAGATCTCATTGCTTTCATAAGGGACTAAGCCACGAAGAGGAGTTGACTTTCCAGTTCATTTTGGGGGGGCTTTCCATTTCTTTTACTTCTCTCCCTCCTTTTCATCCTTTATTCATCTTTTCCTGACACCCTCAGGGAAGAGAGAAGTGGGGTCACTCATACACCTCTATAAGAGGTAAGAGAGGAGACTGAAATAGTTAGCTGGTTTTGAGGTTCATCTGTGCTTTGCTTGTCTCTTCATGAGACCGTCTTTTTGTCTTTCTCTGTATTTTCCTGATAGGGGACTTTCATCAGGAATTTCAACCAGAGCCTTCCCTTCTGGGGGACAATGACAACTCAGGAGAAGAAAGAGACCAATTTACTGATGGAAGAGATGTTCTCCGTTCAGAATTTATAACGTACATTAAGGCAAGTTGAGGATCAAATAATTTTTTTTAAATCTTCTTTTGTTTGTCACCTTAACATTTAAGTTCACGGTTACCAATCTGTCACCTTAAATGCCAACGTACTGCCGGTGTCCTCAGATTTTTATAACATGGAACATCTTCTCAAAGTTTGGGGTGTGTATTTTCTGACATTAGGGGCTGGTCCCTGTCAGACATAACCTCTCCGTTTGTCTGTAAATGTGTCTGATTTTCTTTTATATTTTATATTCAGTAATTGCTTGGCTTTCCACCACTCAGTGCATCAGGATAAGTTTGCAAATGTAAGAATTGCCATTACCATCTAGTAAAAGTTAACACGGAAAGAGATTCACATTCTTTTCAATGCATTCTAGGTGAATGCTTTTCTTAGAAGTATGTCCATTGTAAAAAGAGAAAAGTGGAAATTTTTAAAATCTGGAAATGAATGTCTTCTCTTTCTGGAAAGGTCACTCTGAGGGATTTTCTGTTAACTGTTTTATACTTTTTTCCCAAGAACACACACACACACACACACACACACACACACACACACACACCCTCGTCTCACAAACAGTACAATGCGTATTCTCATGTGACTGACAAACCCAACTAATAATGGAGTAATCTGTCAACAGCAAGAGGTGCTAAGAGGGTAGTAAGAAATAGAATTAAGCTTTACATTTCTGACTCTAAGTTAACCGGTATTGTGGTCCTGGGTCAGATCTCTTTAATTTAATTTCTAATTGTGGTAAAATATCTGTAACATAAAACTTACCGTTTTAGCCATTTTTAAGTGTACAGTTCAGTGAAATATTCTCATTGTTTTGCAGCCATCACCACCATCCATCCCCAGAACCTTTTTTATCTGGTAAAACTGAGACTTCAAACCCATTAAACTGTAATTTCCCATTCCCTGCCCCCCCACCTCCCTTGGGAGCCACCATTCTGCTTTCTGTCTCTATGGGTGATGACTCCAGGGACCTCATATAAGTGGAATCATACAGTATTTGGCTTCTTGTTACTGACTTATTCCACTGAGCATAATGTCTTGAAGGTTCACCGTGTTGTAGCACGTGTCGGAACTTCCTTTTGAAGGCTCGATGACGTTCCATTGTATGTATAGACCATATTTTGTTTATCCATTTATGTGTAGATGGACACTTGGATTGTTTCCACCTTTTGGCTGTTGTGGCTAATGGTCCTGTGAACATGGACGAGGGCAGGGTTTGACTGTTGACTCTTGATAGCCAGTGGCTCTCAGAATTCCCATATGTTCTGTCCACAGGATAGGGCTGAGGACTGTGAAGAACTGTTACGGATAGAAGAGGACACGCACTGGCAACCTGAGGGAATGTGAGTATCCAGGGCCTGGTTATGAGCTACCTGTAAAGTTCATGGTTCAAGCAGAAGGCAGCCCTGTCGTGATAGAATTTTGGTCTGCTTTACTTTGGGTAAGCCTATTTTCTCACCCAGTGATATTGATAAGTTTTTCTTATCATTGATAAGTTTTTCCTATCATTCCTATCAATAGCTTTTTCTCTGTCCGATGCTTATTGTCATGGTATTGGGGTGTTACGGTGCAAGGTCACACCTCTTCCTTGGCCTTGAGTTTCATCTGATTGGAGGCTGTGGATAGAATGTGATTCAGGAGATTAGATGAAGTTTCTACACTGGAGATTCTAGCTTACTGCCATTTGTCTGAAGAAACCAACAACTGGACCCAGAGCAATATGTAGTCCCAGTCACTCTTTACCTAGCCTTCAGGTTCAAGATCTGAGAAAACCGTATACCTCTCATGTCTTGGTCCTGTGTCTAAAATTGTAATAGCTAACATTTATTGAACACTCCATGCTCGGCAATGTTCTAAGTATTCCATAGGTAGTAACTGATTTCATCCTCAAACCAAGTCTGTATGATAAGTTCTATTATTATCCCCCATTTCACATATGACAAAACTGAGGCACAGAGAGATCAATGATCTTGCCCCAGGGTTACAAAGGGCTGGCATTGAACCCAAGGAATCTCACATCACATGGATATCCCTTTAACTCTATTGCACATAAAGATTTACTTGGCCAGCTTTACAGGGGAGGGCCTGAGTCATCTATTATATGATGAACCATTTCCAGGGGAATTGAATATGGACCCATGTGGCATGCAGTAGATTTTTGGTTCCCAGGATTTCATTTTCCATGATCTGGCATGTGGGCCTGGACCTTCCTTCATATCTTGTAGGAGACTCCCCCTTAGTGAGTCTTTATTATATTAAAAGGTGTTTCCACTTAGGGGCGCCTAGGTGGCTCAGTCGGTTAAGCATCCGATTTCAGCTCAGGTCATGATGTCATGGTTCATGGGTTTGAGCCCCACGTCGGGTTCTGTGCTGACAGCTCAGAGCCTGGGTCCTGCTTCAGGTTCTGTGTCTCCCTCTCTCTCTGCCCCTCCCCTGCTCATGCTCTGTCTCTCTCTCTGTCTCAAAAATAAATAAACACTAAAAGAAAATTAAAAAAAAAGTTTTTCCACCTAGAGAAACACGTTGACCTATATTCTGTAGTGGAGAGCAGGAACCATGATCAAATATCTCTTGACCTTTAAAAACATTGCTGGGTACCTTTCACATCACTGTCCTGTATTATCTATTCATTGAATATATTTCTGTAATATCAAGGAGGACTAGCTTGATTATAGAATCAAAGAATTATAGGGAAGAGATTTTATAGGGAGGGTGTTCTTTTAAACCACAGTGGACTCTGGAACAATGCAGGAATTGGGGGCACCAACCCCAGCACAGTTAAAACCTGTATATTACTTTCAACTCCCCCCCCCACCTGCCAAATTTTACTACTAAAAACCTACTGTTGACCAGAAGACTCACCAATAACATAAACAGTTGATTTGCCTATATTTTGTATATGTATTATATGATGTATTCTTAAGAACATACCTAACTTTGTCTGAACTTTCTCAGTATTCCTAGGCTATGCATTTCATCTGTGAATTCTTTCAAATTGCTGCAAATCTCTAAAAAATTTTCCAATATATTTTTGGAAAAAAAAAAAAAAAACCCGTGTATAAACGGACCCATGCAGTTCAAACCTGCGTTGTTCAAGGGTCAACTGTGTATAAGGCTTTGGAAGCCCCATTCTAAATCTTCTATCTGATCGTTCTCAACCCTGCCTGTGGAGCCCCAGTCTCTGGCTTGGCCTTTTGTTCTAGTGCCACAGATGATTTTGCTGCCTGAAGAGCCTGCACTGAGTGAGAACCACTATCCCACAGCAAAATCCCATATTGTATGAAAGCAGTAAAACCAAGCAAGCCACACTGGTAGCACTGGAGTTGGAAGAGGCAAAAGTATTGTAGGCCTGCTGCATCAGGGCATCCCCCAGGGCTCAGGAGAGCACAGCGAGGGAACCACCCAGAGAGCACATCGCCTTGATTTTCTAGAGGAGCAGATACAGGCCCGTGGGCATTGAGACTTTGCGTGAGCTGCTATTTAATAGCAGAGCCAGGCTTCCCCCACCCAGTAGCTCCATTTCCACCACACTCTGGCCATCTCCTCTGCAGGCTACTGACACACGTTCATTATAAGGTGGAGTTTGTGGAAATCACTTTTACACGTTAGATGCATTTTTATAAGTGTGCTCTTAAGAATCTAGATAATATCCATGTTCTAGTAATCATTGTCACTCTTATGCTTGGTTCATGCTACAGAATAAGTTCATCCAAAGACCAGGATGTGGATATGGCTATGATCGAACAGCTGAGAGAAGCGGTAGATTTGCTGCAAGATCCTGACAGGTGCGTGTGTCTTTCCTTGGCCCAGGTTTCGTGTGAGTATATCGTCTCGCCTTTAAAAATGTCTGTGGGGCGCCTGGGTGGCGCAGTCGGTTAAGCGTCCGACTTCAGCCAGGTCACGATCTCGCGGTCCGTGAGTTCGAGCCCCGTGTCAGGCTCTGGGCTGATGGCTCAGAGCCTGGAGCCTGTTTCCGATTCTGTGTCTCCCTCTCTCTCTGCCCCTCCCCTGTTCATGCTCTGTCTCTCTCTGTCCCAAAAATAAATAAAAAACGTTGAAAAAAAATTAAAAAAAAAAAAATGTCTGTACACAGTTTGGGCTCAGTCTAACCCCCAAAAAGAAAAGCTTTTGCAAGATCCATAAGCGTCAGAGTCACACTTCTGGAGTGATGGAGATCGTTCCCCCCTTTTGCTACCCCTTAATGAAATGTATTCACCCTTCATGAACTTCATATGGGAGTTTTTGGCATAATTCTTAGAAAATAGCAACACGATGAAAATGCATATTTGATGTTGCCTCAAGTTCAACTCCTGACTTCTAGAAATACCAAGGAGATTTTCCAAAAATGAAAGAATTGTTTTATCAAGTGCTATCGTATTTATTTTGAGATGCCAAACTTATGTTACCTAAACAATATATTTCTAAAGATTGGGGTTATGAGATAAGTTTTTAATTGAATTGGCCATTGTCATCAGAGGCACAGAATGCAGTAGATACATTTTTTGGTTTCTTAGCAAAGGATCATGGAATTCCCGTGAACAAAATATTTTTCAGTAAGACAATATAGCCAGTATCAGGTACTAACTACTTTATCACTAGGAAAATAGATCCAAAGCTTATTCCTGGTAAACTGTTTATGGGTCTTGTGGACTTAAATATGAAAATGATACGGTCTCGTAATATGGTGAACACAGAAATTATACCACATTTTGGCAATTCCTGAAAAGGGTGGTTAGCAAGTCCCAGAGTGCCAGTAATGGCTCACCACCAATGTTGCTTGGCCCTAAAAGAATAGTGATGGGTCAGTGTGTTTGGCTGAAAGTCTTTAGCAATTGATTTGAAAAGCATTTTCAGTTCTGTAGACATTAATTGAGTGCTTAGAGATCATGGGAAGATCTACTGCGTGCACCTCTGGGGATATAAAGATGAACAAGACACAGCCCTTGCCTTCTAAGAACTTAAGCTATGGTAGAGATGGCTTTGAGTAGCTATTTGTAAGTGTAATTGATTTAGGTGCTTGAAGTGATAGGCTCCAGTGAATTCCTGGCCGCAGATGGAAATGGGGAGATGGCGGGGCTGGCCTCCCTGAAGCCTGGGGTAGTTCATCTGGGCCTTTAATTACTGGCCATTTCATGGAAAAAGCAAACCCTGGATTGAATTAAAAGCTTAGGCAAAGGCATGGAGGTCAGAAGGAGTGGAGCAGGCGTGGACTCTACCTGGGAGGCTGGGGTCTGGCCGTTTCCACCTTTTAAAAATCTGGGCAGTGCTTCTGATGCACAGCCAGGGCTGAGAAGCTGTGGAGGGGCAGTCGGAGGGGTGCTGAGGGTGTCTTCAAATGCTGTGTTGAGGAGCCCAGACTTTATTTTATATATAGAGGGAGGTGGTGGTACTTTAAAAGCATGATTATTCATGTTCCTAATTCTCCCTACTGTGTGGCTCAGAGCCTGGCTTATTCGTGAATTGCCTAATCAAAGCATGTTCTTTAAAGAGCTGCGTTTCACATTCTAAACCAGGGAAGTCAGTGAGAGGGTGGGAAACAGGGACAAGAGGACACGTGTGTGTGTTGTATGTGTTTGTGGGAAATTATAAGGAATGGGGAAGCAGCTCATCTGGGGGTAAAGAACAGAATTTGGATCAGCCAGCCACAGGTTCTGAACCCAGCTCCAACACCACTAATGTGGGTTAAGATATAACTATACTGTACGCCAGTTTCCTCCTCTGTGAGATGGGATCCACGTACTTACTTTTTAGGATTGTGAAGATCTGAAATAATTTATAAACTGCTAGTAGGAAGGCAAATTAGCAAAACCATTCTAGAAGACATCCTAGTAGTACATGGCCGTTGTCTAAAATATATGTAAACTTTTTGAAATAAATTCTAAAAATGTATCCTAAGGGACAAAGAGATAGGAACAAAGATTATGAGGGAAAGATATTTTTATAGCAAACATTTGGGGAAAATGAAATAATGTAATATTTTAGAGATACTTAAATATAATTTGGTCCTTTATAAAATGGAATAGAACATGGCTGATACAATGTGTTTTTTTAAATTTTCCAATATATTTTAGAATGCTCATTTTAGGGGCACCTGGGTGGCTCAGTCGGTTAAGCGGCCGACTTCGGCTCAGGTCATGATCTCGCGGTCCACGAGTTCGAGCCCCGCATCGGGCTCTGTGCTGACAGCTCAGAGCCTGGAGCCTGTTTCAGATCCTGTGTCTCCCTCTCTCTGACTCTCCCCCGTTCATGCTCTGTCTCTCTCTGTCTCAAAAATAAATAAACGTTAAAAAAAAAAAAAGAATGCTCATTTTATAATCACTTTAAAAGTATATAAAATGCAAAGGTTTGATCCCAATTATATAGACTGAATTAGGTCTTATTTGTGTCAGAAACAGAAAAAAAATTAAAACTGGAAGGAAATATATTACTGGGGATGTTTTTCTGTAGGTATTTCTAAATTAGTATTTTTTTTTTTATACTTTTATGAATTGTAGACCCTTAGCAGGCACTGTTGTAGTTCTTTGGCAGGTTATTTGCGGTGGGTGGTGAGAACAGTGTGAAGGAACAGTGCAGACTGGTTAGATATGAGCACCAGGTTTCTGGTTATCTGAGATGGGGAACCAAGAGGGCGCCAGGGTTGAGGAGAAGGATGTTGTGGTCCGCGTAGGACATGCCGAATAAAATCCAAGGTGGCAATGTCCATTCTGCTGCTAGGAGTTTGGTTCTGGGGCTTCGAGACTTAGATTTGAAAGTCATTTCGTAAGGTGCTTCAGTAACAGAGCTGTATAATGAGGATGAGATTCCCAAAGCCAAGCGTATAGATGGGAAGGGAACATGAGTCCAGAATCGAGACTTAAAGTGTGACATTACAGAGAAAGGACCCCCCCTTGGGCTCAAACTTAATATATTATTTCAATACTTGTACCTTTTGCATTTTGTATCACGCCCCCAATAAACGTTTCTTACAAATTTGAGATTGATTAATATGTGAACCACAAAGTGAAAAAGAACAGCCTCGTTTGGGGGAAATAAAAGTGGCTGGGGAATGTGGGCCCGGAGCCCAGTAGTGAAGATCTCGGTGACCCGGAGGAGGGTTCCCAGCTCTGGGCCTTAATTTCGTCATCCTTCATGAGAAGTGCGATGAACTGAGGACCTCAAGATTCCTCTCTAGCTTGGAAACATTTGAGGCAATGAGTTGCCAAGAATGTAGAGCGAGTGGAATGGTGGGTGTGTGCTCGAATTGCGAATTGCGGAAGAAAACAGCCCTGAGTAACTTTCCAAGAGCTAATTGATTTGCATCTTTATGGAATGCTATTTTAAAATCGTATCATATTGTAAAACTTTATATGGCTTTCATTTGCTGCCTAAAATAACTCACTACTTTGGCTGCTTTAGATCTTTGTTGTTCATCCTGAATAATTATCATGATAGGACAGTTCTAACTTATAATAATGTTTCTGTGAGCCAGTATAATAGCGATAAAGAAAGGGTCACTGTTTGTTTCTATTAAGAGAGGGCTCTTCAAGAGGTCACTTATTTCTAGCTGCTTGGGACTGAATATTAATAATAAAAATACACATAAATATTGGGTTTTTCCTTTATCTCATATTTCATAGGTCCAAACTTTTTGTTGTTTGAGTTAAACCACTGATTATAGGATTAAATTTTAGAGGTTTACCTTTCATACAAACTTAACATCAAAAAAACCTAGTTGAATATTGGTATCATATTTTGTCTTTATCTTGGTTTCTTTTTTAAGGATTTCTGATTATAGATTTGACAGCATTTTCAGTAGGGCATATATAATATGACTCATCCCTACCTTTTACAGTAGCCTTGTAACTTTCATATGACTTACAGAAATTCCTGGTTTTATAGATCTTAAACAGAATTCAACTCTTAAAATTGCAGAAATTCAGAAACTATCTGTAAGGCAATTTCAGAAATAAAATTGCTTATGAATTCTAATTTTTTAAAATGAGAGTACTAGTATATATCAGAGATATCTTCCTATTAAAACAAAATGCCCTTCATACATATAATATAGTACTCTTAGCAATTTTATTACCTCTATAAATTAATCAAGTTCTAGAGTAGAATTTTGTGCTACCTATGAATATTATGACTTTGGCAGAAATTGCTATTATATTGCAAATAAGTTGTATTTCAGTACCAATAGCAGATAGAAAATGATGTTCAAATTATATAAAATTTTGCACATGGTGGGAAAATACCATGTAGCTTGAAATTTCTACCATAAACCTTTGATTACTTAATCTAACGATAAACATAACTTTTTAATATACTAAAATTATAAACTACATATGACCCAAAGCATTGGATTTATTAAAATCATAGAACCTACGAAAAGTTTAACTAACATGCTAACATCTTTTTTTCCTACTCTTTAGATTAAGCACAGATGTTTCAGAGAGAAATGTTGTAAACTTTTATCCTGTGGAATCAGCAGAAGCCTTAGACTTACAAGATTCTGCACTAAAGTATGTTGACCTTTTTGTAACTAAATGTATTTTCTCTTTCTACAGTGAAGTATGTATGCTTTAAATTCCACTTTATATCCTTTTTTTTCCTACAGTGGTCAAATACAGCTGGAGACCTCTCCCGTTTGTGAGGTAAGGCTGCTCTTGGATTAACCAGAGCTCCGTGCAGTCCTCCACCATGGAATGGTGGCTCCTGTATTCTACAAAGATTTATCATTGGGATAGAACAGTCATTGAACCAATATTTGATTTTATGAATGGTCTGTTTTTCTGATTTTGTATACTTCTGCCTTATTTAGTTTTCCTGTGTATTATACTTCCGTCTTCCATTAAAGATGAGGGTCGGCTATTTCCATTAAAATCTCGAAATTTCTTGGGTCAGATGGTCTTGCTGAGCCAGGCAGTAGCAACTGAGATCCCTAAGGAACCCCGAGACATCAGAAAGCGTAGGCCCATTCATTGCAATTTTAGAGCCAAGAAGGAAGCCTCGGAAGTGGCCAGGAGAAAATAAACTACAAAAGACTTGAAAGGCAAGGACAAATGATTTGAGAAGTCCCTAGGAGGATTAGAAGACCTTAGCAGAGAGACCTGGGGGAGTTATTTGAGGGCAGAGTAAGGGCAGAATTACGCTGGGTGAAATGTGGTTGGCTGCTGAAAGCAGTTTTGACTAGATGAGCCTAAACGGTCCCAGAGAAGCAGTTATATAAGGAGGTTTGAGCTGGTGACTTGGGAGTGAAACCTGGGTGGCACTCTAATTCATCTCTCCTTAATGAGTGGGTTTAGGATGGCTAATTCCAGTATACACACCAGTTTATGTCCCCTGAAGTGTCTGAGCATGGGGAGTGTAGTGAAGCAGTTTCACACTCTTTACTAGCGAAGTCTGTGTTGAGGAAGAGGAGAGAGAACTACTGTGATTTCATTGTTGAGAGCCGTGCCTTAGAATTGTGTTGAGTTGTAATCCTACCTCAAAGACTTGCTAACTGGGCAACTGTGGGCTATCTCTCCAAACTTCAGCTTCATTTTCTCTAAATTGGGACCCGTCTCACAAGCCGGGGCACCTAGGTGGCAGCTATTACTCTGACTCTGCCACTCTATTGTTGTTATCGGTGTGGTCCTTAGAATTACTGCACCGTGTCTTTCCCGGTAGAGGCATCATTGGATTACCCAGTTCTGGAACATCAGGAAGCATCTTATGTGAAGGCTGCCCCAGCACCATTCCAACGGGCTCTCTCCTTTGAGACACAATACTTGTGATCCTGTGCAGGCCCACTTTTCTATTATTGAGTGATTGATGATAGTTGATCCGCTTTTCTTCAAAAGCTTCCTCTTTGGAAATAATTTGAAACTTACAAAAATGTGGGGGAAAATTGTAAGATTCTATTAAAAGTTACCAAAATGGCATCCTTTTACCTGGAGTTACCTATTATCAACGTTTTACCTCATTTGCTGTATTGTTTCTTGTCTTTGTTTCTCCACACACAGTTCTTTTTCTGAAACATGTGAGAGTTTCATACATCATAGTCCTTTTTTCCTAAACATTTCAGTGTACGTTTTCTGAGAATAGAGATTTTATTTTACCTAACTACGTTTGGTTATCACGTTCATAAATTTACATTGATAAAATGTTTTCATCTAATCTACCATTCATGTTCCAAACTTTTCAGTTGATCTAATGATGTTCTTCATTTTTTCCCTTCTAGTGTAGGGCCCAGTCTAGGGGCAGGTGTTGTATTTAGTCATGCGGTATCTACAGTTTCCTTTATTTTGGAACATTTCTGTAGCTTTTCCTTGGTTTTTATGGCCTTGAAATTTTGAAGACTATAGCTCTCTTCTCAATGGTGTATGCCCCTTATTTTGTGGGACAGAAGTTCCTCCTGTTTCCCATGTTTAGATTGAGATTCTATGTATTTCATTGGGATACTGCATGGGTGATTTGTGTCCTTCTCAGGATATCCCCTATGTCTGTGTGGCCCTCAGAGATGATGTTAATTTGATTACCCAATTGTTGCTTAACAATCATGTAATTACTATCCTGTTTTCCTGCTACAACCAGTAAGCATTCAGTGAACAGTTACTTTAGGACCCTGGGTGCGTGATTTCAGGAATACCAGTGAGACACAAATCCTCTAGAACAAAGATATCTCTACTCCACCTCTGGTTTATAGTGTTTTGTCTCCATATATATATATATATATTTTTTTTTTCTTCCTTTTTGGTTGAATGAGGACTCCTATTTGGCATAGGAAGTTCTTACTCATTGTCTCCCTTCTCTAGGGCAGTCATCTGTCCACGACAGGCACGTGTCAATGATTTTAAAAAGGAGGGATAGGATAGCTGGCTCTAGAAGTCCCAGGGAGGAGGAAGAGGAAGTAACGGATTAGCAATGCCGGTGCCAGTGATGATACAGAACTTAAATGTGATCCTCATCAATGATGTGGTTGTTTTTACATTCTCTCCTCCATCTCATTCAGGAGGAAAGTAATATCTGTAGCGTAATCTTGACTCAGTTAGCCAGTGTTTGTTGAGTACTTGTGCTGGATTTCGTCTTGTTTTTGGTGTCAAGGACTGGGGTATTAAGGATATGAACTTGTCCTTCCTTTTAAGGTGTTTTAAAAATTATGAAGGGAAGAAGACTTAGATTTTGAAAAACTTGAGAGGAGGATATGACATGGTCTGTAATCCTGAGTGTTTTAGGTGCTCTGGGAGACCGGGGAAGAGATAGGAAGTTAAGGAGAGGGAAGTAAACCTGGGTTTGGGGGGTAGTTTGGACTTGGGTCAGCCCCAGGAGGCTGTGCTGAGCAAGGAAGCAGGCAGCCGTGGCAGAATCAGGACCAGGCGTGAACTGAGGAATGAATGAGTGGGTGGTGCCCAGTTCGACAGGTGAGGCCACAGTTATGAAGTGGTTTATACATCACATTGTCTGACTTTACATATACTTTAGATGACTGTCTGTATCAAGTTTAGGTAGCATTGGCCTCCATTCAGGAAGAATTGCAAATGATAGTCTCATTCATAGATAGTAACAAATTGGGGAAGGTATTGGGGGCACAACAGGAAAAAAATCAGAGGAAGGAATTGCTTATAGAGGGATCAGCCCTGCAGATACTTGTTAGTAGTTCTAACAAAGCTGCTTAACTGGGTAGGGAAATTAATGACATTTTATTCTAAATATATGTTTTTCCTTTGGATTTGTCAAAGTTCAGAATATTTTTTAAATAGCACCCCTCAGTAGGAACAGACATCTTAAATTTATACTGATTTGGCGTAGTGTAAATGAAGATGCTTATATTAGTTATCCCCAGATTTTTATTAGGGTAATCTGTAGGGTTCTTGATCACCATATGCAGAAGGCAGATCTGAGTAACATAAGCTAGAGTTTCCTCCTTGGTTGCCAAAGCAAACTGGCATTGAATGGACAACGTTAAGATCGTGGCAGGTAATTTGGAGTCCAGGCATGTACGTTTATTAAAAGCTCCCAGTGGGGTTCTGTGTATTTGGGAAGTGCTGCCTTGGACCATTTCTAAAAACCTCTCGTTCAAATGGGGGGGTGGGAGCCGGCAAGTGGCTTAGTAACCTAGCAAGGCAGGTACTTTGGGCTGAACTCTTTGCTCTGGGAGATTCCTTTTCTTAGTTTGTGTGATACTTTAGATGTATTTTGTGTGTGTGTGTGTGTGTGTGTGTGTGTGTGTGTGTGTGTGTGTGTGCGCGCGCGAATGTAATAGCTGCATGTTTTTAGCAAATGTAAGTATGAACTACTTAGCTACTTAACACACTGAATAATTAATTCTGTGTATATTCCTTGTGTGCCTGTGTACCAGGGATATGATGGAAGTCAGAAGGATGCAGTTCTTGCCTCAATAATTTTATGGTCTAATAAATATACCATGCATTTTTTTCCTTAAGGTGCAAAATGACCTAACATTACAGAGTAATGGGAGCGAGTATTCTCCAAATGAGGTGAGTTTCCTGAAGATTCACGTAAGCTGAGGTGTTTTGTGCAGACTGAATTGGAATATCTTTGACAGAAATACATAATCTGAGACTGTCATGATTCACGACCCAATTGTATTGCAGATTCTCTGGGGGAGTCTCTTTCATTAGCTGTCCTAGTCTTAGCTGGCCCTATCCATAATTAAGGATTAATTTCATAAGGTATATTTTGAAAAGCAAATATGGCAACATCTTTGTAGAAGACAAAGTGATGGCTCAGACAGGCAATATTTAGAATGTCCTGGTATCCATAAATGATTCAGTGTGTGCCTTCCCTGTAGATGAGACATCTGTTCAGTGTTATCTGTTTTCTTATTTCGCTGTGTTAGGACATCATTCCTCAGATGTCCCCTCTGTGAGGTGGATGTGAGTGTGTTCCTGTGTATGTATACACATGCACACATCTATTCTGCAGCAGAAAGGGATTGCCAGTTTCACATGATTGTAGAATATTTTTTTATTGAGCAGATAACAATTAGCTCTCCCTCCCCAAACAACATTCTGTTGATGATGCCGCTTAAAGCATTTGCAGTGCTAAGATGCATCCAATATCAAATTTTTTGGTCCGGGCTTCATCACAAAGCAGCAAATCCAAAAGGTAGCGGTCTTACTATAATCCTTGAACGTAGAGAAGCACACATAGTTCTGCTTTCGGGTGTTGTTTTTAAACCGTCTTTTCTTTCTGATCCTGCAGATTAGAGCCAACTCCCCTGCCATCTCTCCTACCGCCAACAGCACGGGGCCGTTTGGCCTGAAGCCTCGATCAGGTAAATGAAAACCTCAGCATCTTTGTACTCGTAAATACTCAGTGGCTTCTCCTGAGTCTTTTATTAAATGTCGATGTTCTAGCGTGAGCAGCTGTGACGAACTCGGGCGAACGCGAGTCCGGGGCAGGGGGGCGGGGGCAGACTTTGGAGCCTTGTTTTCAGTGAGTCACCTGTTAAGTCCATGCTCTCAGTAGCAGATACCTTCCCTCCTTTTCAGTCAGAGCGAAGAGAAAAGGTGATGGGGCGTGTGAGTGGGGCAAAAATTTTCCAATGAGTCTTTTATCCAGGGAAGTGAAAATAGCCAGCCCTTTGCCCCAGCGGTTCCTGGTACCCTGCTGAGCTAAATTTAGAGCAGCCTCTGGGAGAGTGACTCCTCTAAGACATCGCTTGTTTGCTTTCTAGTCCGTGTAGGGTTATGTATTTTCTCCTGTAACGGTGATCATTTCGAGGCTCACATGAGCGGTCAGGAGTCATTTCTTTAAAAGAGCCTTTCTGCTTATATTACCTACTTTCTTTTAATTTAGTGTTAGTATGTTCACAGGTGTAAATTCTAGCAACGTGCAGAGTATTGATTTTAAAAAGGGATACGCATAGAAAAAATTGGTTCTTTTGATTTCTTCGCTCAAGTTCTGGCACTGTCTACCTGGTTGTAGGTCCTTTTTTGTTTTAACATGTTTAGTTCTTGGTTTACACTCCCCACTATAATGCTTTTAAGGAAGTGTTAAGAAAGGATTCAGACACATGTAAGCAAAAAGCTAATAAAGAGTGTAGATGTTCTTTGTTTTTTCAAGAAAGCATTTTGGCAACAGTAGAAGTTATACATGTGTATATTTTGTAAAAGGGTACCATAAAAATATAATTTCTTTATGAAGGATTTTTTTTTTTTTTTTGTATTTAGAGCAAGTTGACTGATGGGTAACATGTAGCCAGGTGTTAATAGTTTCCTAGCATTTTGGATGGGCGCTAAGGAAAAGCTATTTGAGAAACTGCCTGGACATGGGAAGAATTAGCAGGTGTTTTATGGAAAGCCAAATTGTGTGTGAAATAAGGTTCAAATGACTGGCTTCCTCATGTATGGAATGAACAGAGCATATGAGGCCAGATCTGGGCTGGGCCTCCGTTTCCCTGGGGTCTCAGGTGTGTGCTCGGATCAGGTGGGCACATCTCATCCGTGCCTTCAGTGCTGGCCTGCCGGAAGAGGACCTCAGATTGGGCTACAGACTTGCTCCTAATCCTTACAGGCAGTTTTACATAATTTCGAAATAGTTCATAATGGAGCAAACAGAAGTTGAGTGGATCTCCAAAGAACAATATTCTTTTGAGTGTGCATCTTTACAATTTGGTTGTAAAATTGTCCCAGTGATTCCTTTTTCTTCCTTGTGTGGAGTCCAAACTCAGCTTATCAACATTGTGCTTGTACTCTTCAACCATTTCAGATTCTTTGTACTGGTGAAATAGAAATGGGGTATTTATTTTGAATAGCAGAAAACAGAGATAATTTCCTCTCCAGGCTTCCAAACTTTCTAAAATGCTGACTAACCACTGTGGAAATTGTTCTAGCCGTTGAAAGCTTTGTGGAGTTTGGTTGCTATAAATAATGCTGATTTATCTTCAGGAACATCAAGTGGCATGTAGGATCTTTATAAAACTAGCATTATGTATTGGGGAATTTTAAATTTTGTTTAGTGATTTAAAAATATTACAGTATTTTTCCCATTTTCTAGAAAATAATATATATAGTGATCTTACTTGAAGATTATATGATTTAAAAAGATAGAAATTCTTTTTGACCGAGCAGCTTTGAAACTTTAAAAAGCCAATTAATTTTTATTTTAAAGTTAAGTATATGGATTTATGTGGTTTCTGTGTTATAAATAAAAACAGACTGCTCGAATCAGCAAGTTTGGATAAGAACTTAGATTCTTAAATAGGCTGCTAGTTTTCTTCAAAAGAAAATTTTTTCCTCAATTGTGTTTTCCTTCAAGGAAAGACAACTACATGTACTCAAAGATTCGTTCCTAGAAGCGTGTCCATTTATTGTACTGGCCCTGCCTTAGCATTGAAAAAAAAATGGTACAGATATTTCCTCAACGTGTAAAATTACTAGATGGATATTTAGTACAAAAAAGATGTCATTTCATAAATGACAAACTCAGAAGTGCTTGAAATTGATTAACATCATAAATGACAAACTCAGAAGTGCTTGAAATTGAGACTCTACTAGCGTCAAAATTGTTTTCCTCCTGATCAGTATCAAAGACAATGTTGAGAAGTGTGTGTGTCAAGGGTTGAGGAAAGATTTGGCCAGCTACAGCCATCAGTAAAGTGTGCCAGTAGACTTTAAAGAGAAATTTTACATTGCCATGGGGGAAAAATTGACAAATGGTAAACCCAGATTCTATAATAGTCTCATTTCTAAATAATGGATATATTTGCATATATTATTAAGCTGTGCCTATGTAACCAAATTTTTTGTGCGAATGGTATTTGCTACAATTGTTGGTTACTTAGAAGGTTTTTGAAAAAGGTATCTGGTAGGTCTTCTGCTTTTTATCTGCATTATCTATGGGTGCTCTTCCTTTCTGCTGACGTGATTCATTAGTACTCTGAGTCTGTGGGCTTGCAGAACTGTTAAGATTAACGATATTAACTGCATGCAAAGTATATGATTGATAAGTACTAACACTCGGTTTTTATCATTCTTTTTATTTCATGCGCCATCTTTCATTCTTCTCCTGTATTGTACATTTGAATTTAAATCCCGTGATATGAAATTCGCTTCATTTCCATACAAACCTTATGCCATTTGTGAAATGCTGCTGTCCCTTTGGTTTTTCCTGGTCCTTGTCCAACTGTACGCGGACCGGCTCTCTCGCTCTCCTGCAAGACCCAGCCCTCACTCTTCCTCCTATCTCCTTCAACAAACTTACACAGGCACAAACATGGGACAGCTCTAGCTACAGTGTTCCATCTGAAGGAGACAGTGACAATGGTAGGTGGCCTTGTACCTGTTCTTCAATGTGCTCATTAATAAGCCAATGAATATACTAAACGTTCGTTTCTGTACAGCTGAAGATAGAGTATATTCACCTGCATGCCTGATATAAGAAATAATGAGTAAAGCTGGAAAGTGAAGTCCAGAGCGGTGCATGTGGATTGCTGTCTAGCAGTTTGTTCAACTACGTTTAATGACCTTGAATATTCTGAATTTCGGGAGGACTTTACAATAATTTCTTTCTCTACCTTTTCTGCTTGGGTTTTTTGGTGTGTATGCTTGTTTACCAAAATTTGGGAGTGTCTCTGCTTCCTCCTGCATCTCAACAAAGTGTGTTTAGAGTTTGATCTTTTATTATCTATACTCACCATGTGAGATTTTTAAGGTAATTAATACCATGACTGATCCCGGAGTGGTGCACTGAAAAGAATCTTAACATTGAGAAATTTCTAAAAATGAAGAGAAAGCACCTGCCTTCTCCCTTTTTAAAATTTTTTTTTTTTTTGGTATTTGCACATTTTGACTTTGGACACCTTCTACCTTTGTGAGCGTAAGCTCACACCTATATAATCGTCAGTTGGCCTGAAAATCAAATGTGCCAGTAAAAAATTAAAGACAGCTAGTTGGGAGTATTATGAATGTCTTTTAATTTAATGCCATTACATATCTTAAATAGCCTAAAAGATGAAAACAAAATGTAGTTATTTTGATCTACATGTCACATATATCAGAATCTCCATTTGATCTAATGTTAGTTAAGAATTTAAACATTTTACTGTATGATACAAAGTGATAAAAGTGATGTTAAATGAAATAGTATGATTTATAAGGAAGAGAAGTGAGATGTGAGGTATAACCAAAATGCAAACACAATAGGAAAATAAATTTTCTGATAGTAGTTATTTTTTAATTGGAGCATGTTATATAGAAAATATATATTTAAAATATTTGCTGTGATTTCTGGTTAAAATTCAATAAAAAAGCCTTTTCCAATTTCCTTGTGTAGAAGGGTAAATGTATATTTTGGCATAATATTTGGCATAATATTTTGGCAAAATATACATAAAATGTATATTTTAATTATAAAAGGAGTTCTATTGTTTCATAGATTTCTAAATTTTTTAACTGAAAATAAGTAGGCTTAAACAACAACGAGACACAAGTCCCTCCGTATACCATCCCATTTTAAATTCTGGAAGTTGAAGAGGGCTCAATGGAAACTTTTTTGATAAACTGTTTCTATACTTAAAAATAAAAAAGAGAGGGACAGGCATTTTTGTTTTTCAGAAAGCACAGCTATTTATGGATCTGCTGTTGTTTAAAAGGAAGCAAAGCCTAAAATGAAAGATTTATGTGTGATTTGGTATTTCCTTCGGAGTGATATCTGAAACCAAAGACTTTTTTTTTTCTTTTTTTTAAGCTGGAAAAGATGTAGTCATGTTATGTAGCAGTAGAATCTGTGTAGACGAGCCAACTAAAACCAGAAGGTGAGGGCACGTTGGTACTTAGCGGTGGAGGTGAGGCCACAGCAGGGCCCTGATGATGCCCCATTTCTCTACTCATTCTGTAGCAATTTATTGAGGACTCTTTGTGCCAGACTGCCGCCTTCTTATTAAAAATCCTAAAATTCTCATAGAAATGAATAATTACAGAAATCTCTCTGAAGATAAAATAACCTTGCACTACATGCTTGGTTTTTTTTTGTTTTTTTTTTTTTGTACGAGTGCAGATTCCAGGGATTCATGTGTAACGATGAAGCCATACCACAACCATAATAAAGGAATTGCTTTCAATATTCATGTGGTTCCATCTGTCACATCAGATAATTGGTGGTTGTCATTTGTCCCTATTTGCAGTTTGTCTATAATATGCCATGGCCGACAGCTAATTTTCTATGCAGAAATATTTGTGCGGGTTCCTAGATCAGACTTTTCACATGCTTCTTCATTCTCTTTGTGCTACGCTTGGCCTTGTGATCTGGATGGATTTTCCAAAGCACTTTTTA